AATATCACTCTGATAAGCACTTCTACACAGGAAAATAAGAAATTCCTAAAAAGTTTTCTGTGAAGCACCTTCTTCATGTCCTGTACTACTCTGTACTTATAAATAATAAAAACGAGACTGATAACCGTAGCTTTATGTAAGCAAGCTTAGAAATCACGCTCAGATAAGTGCTTTTGACCTAAATCTTGTAGCGCCTCGATCTGACATATAACCCCACAACTGTGAAATTCTGTATGAGATTTAGCAGTTTGAAGCTGCCAACTGACCCAGCCATAAAGCAGCCAGAGATAAGGATTTAAGGTACGATATGATACAATTAGACATTCACCTCCTATTTATTTCAATCCATTTCAGTATTTAACCTAGTTAAAAGTTGCAAGCTTTTTATTAAAATGTAAATGTGAGTGTGCTGTATATTTATAGGTGGCTAACCACAAAAAAAAAAGACTCTCATAAATTAGATTTCTATGAATAAAAAGGGTAAACAGGAGATGCTTCTGCAAAACTCTTCTAGACGTGCAGAGATAAAGGATGGTTCTACCACACAAAATAATCAGATACAAAAATAGCTGTTCAGAAACAGCACACCTAAGGAGTACTTTAATCAAACATTTAGGTTACCTGCCAAAAGGACCATGATCTCTTCAAAATGCAATGCGGATTAAAGTGTTATCTAACACAAGCAGAAAACTAACCTTGGAGTGGAAGTTCGAAATGTGTTCATCATAATTTTCATGTCTTTGGATAGAGAAACCAGCTTTTTCAGCTAGATTGCAAAACTGGTTTAAAGTATTCCCTCTGAGTGGAGCAAATACCATTGCTTTTCCCTGGAACATTAAAAAGAGAATTTACACATTTTTAAAACTGGAAAGGAACCAGATATAACATACACCTGGCTAAGCTTTTAATACACTCAGACTGGAAAAGTCAATTGTTCCCTTGGAAAAATACCGAAGTAGGGTAATATAAATAATTGTTCAGAATATGCAAGATTTCTGTGATTAAACAAATGCAAAACAGAAAGCAATAAACGTGTATTTTCTTTAGAAAACTGCCAACTGCAATACATTTGATCCTTTTCATATAATAATGGTGGCTATGAATTACCAAAATAAAACACAGAAAAAGCACAAAAATACATATTCAATGCAAAATGCATTTGCTGGTTCATAACCATGCAAAAATTGTAAATAATGATTTTCATATTTTAACTAACTCTCACACACACAAGAGTACCTCCCATTTGATGTCAATGGAATTATAGCAGTGTAAAACAAGGCAAAATGGAAGGCAAATAGAGGACCCAATTGTTATTTTTAAGGATATTTTAGACCACCTGCGCATTGCAACTGAATTTGACCTTAAATTGGCAAATTGCATTTAAAGCACAATTTAATGTTCTTGCATGGTAATTCTGGATCGTTCAAGATGATCAGGCCATTTGTGATGCCCAGGCAGTACATTACGGTCCATTAACTAATTTTTTGTTCATTCTTCTGCATTTAAGAAAACAAAAATGACTTTACTTGACTGATAGATTTTAGACACCCTTTGCAAAAATATTAATCCAAAATTTAACATACTTGATACAGCATCTCTTGAAATCTTATTTGCAAAATTAATTGTAATTGGCTGAATATTGTATTCTGTCACATGGAATGAAAACTAGTTGAAGAGCTGTAAACGAAGGTTAATATCAACCGATCAACCCTCTTGTTGAGGGGAGCTCTCTGGCAGCTGCCACAAAGTTTGCTGTGAGTTCTTTCATTTAACTTATGTATCAATGAGAGCTAAAATGATTTTGTGAGGTGCTGTAAGCAGTTGAAGAGACAAAAAGCATATTTGGGAATCTGGAGAAGTAATAAAAAGAGTGAGAAACCTTAGAAGAATGTTCAGCTTGAGTAAATGCAAACTCGTATATCAGAGGAAAAAAGTAATCAGAAGAGAGAATTTCAATAGGAAGGAAGGAACCTGGAAGGTTATGATGCTGACACATATACTTTGCGGAGAGGATATGGATGTTACAGCTCATGCACACATATGCTAAGACAACACTCAGTGAAGCAACAATAAAAAATGTCTATCTAGGTACTTATTGTATTGCTGTGTACTTAAAATACTCCAATTATTAATACCATAGCATTGTATATTTATTCTCACAGTCTCTGTGAAACAGGGAAATCCTGTTATCCTCATCTTTCTCATGTGAAACTGAAGCACAAAGGGGACCAAGGGTAATATCCAAACCAACCCACTTTTGTCCATTTGTGTACCCACAGCTTTAACTCAATGGCTAAACATGAGGTGCAAATGAGTGTAGCTCCACCAAAGGCACTGACTTTGCTTATGTAAATGTTAGCTCTGAATATAGGCTGAGCTTAGGATGAAAAACTAATATTAAACACAGGAAATTCACAATCAGTATGACACATGCCATAATTCCCTCACATCCCTGGCATGCTTTAATATCATCAGACAGAAATGGGCAACAAAGGGAGTCTCCAGCTGAAGATCTTCCTCCTTCTGCTGCCATCTCACTCTCACCCAAACTTTGTTCTGCAGAGACCCTTCCTGGTATAAGAAGGATGGGGCTCCCCTGGAGTCCCTTATCTTCATGAGCACTTTCACAGAGAGGTCACTGTAATGGGAACAATGTCCCTCATGCAGGGCTTACTGATTATACAATTCACTCATGGATTTCAGAAAAGCTTTTCTGAACCTCTTGTATGGAGACTGTCGGGGGCCCCAACCCCAACATCTGTCACCATTCCAGCAGCTTTGATGTGGAAGCAATGCTCATACAGCAGTGACATCTTTCCAGACTGCAACTTGGGGTCAGCAGCCTATGCAGTCATTTATTCTCATAGTGCGTCTAGACTAATGTCCTCACATTCAATTTGAAAGGGAAATACAGGAAAACAGAACAAAATGCAATACTAAATACCTCTTAAAACTAGACTGAAAAGCTCAAAATAACTTGAAAAAAGGACAACAGCCTTTCATGGAAATCATCGCACGATTACTTTTGGCCTGCTTTATCGTAATGATATACTTTATCATGATTTATGGTTGTTTTTTATTAGTAAATGGCAAGATACTCAGGTGCTTTAGATGCACACTGAACTCAACAGAGGAACGTCTTCTTACATCAATGAAGAAGTTCATCATTACGATAATCTCCTCAAAACTGGTAGATACTGTGGTCAATTTTGGTCTATTATAATCTGGGTTTAAAGCAGCTTCAGGTCAACTGCCTGATCCGTGTAATTCTGCTACCTTTTGTAGGGCTGCCATCGCATTTCTAATTCGAAATGTTTTTCATTGCTTAGTTGTTGTACAGTAACAAAATTAGAGGAGTGGCCTGGATCTACACTTGATGGACTATGCACCAGTAGTGTAGCTATTTAATTCAAAGCTTCTAACTCAAAGATGCCTCCCAATTTAGAATGAAAGTTTGAAGTTAAGCATGGCCTTTCCTCAGTCAGAAAGACATTTCCAGCAAAATAGCGAAGAAAATACAGAAGAAAATATGTTTTCTTCTTATCGTTTTCTTTCAGCCACAGTAGTCTGAGGTGTCACTTAAACGCTACAGTAAGATAATAGGACAGATATTCAGATTTTGGACATGACTGTGACTAATTTTACTCCTCAATCATTATTAAATCCAGCCTTATTTGCTGAGACTAATCATGGTTAAATAATATCTGATTGACTTCACTGGGATTGTGAATGGACAGACCACTGAAAAATCAAAGCCTTAATAAGCAAATATTTTTATTAGGAAGATGCGCAAACAAACAACTGGTCATTCTGAGAGTGAAATTAAAAGTACATTTTAACGATAGGAAAAACTAAAATAACGTCTGCAAATCAAGTAGGTTGCTAAAATGAGGAATAAATATAGTCATTCAAGATAAATTTGTTTGATGCAAAATTTGAGGGTCTAATTCTCAGAATTAGTTTAGAGGTGACATTTGCCTTTGTAACAAACTCAGATAAGAAATTTCAGCTCTCAGTAGCATGCCAGCTGCTCATTTCTGCACGCATATGAGTTTCCTGTCCTGTCTTCCTGTGCCAGTAGAAATGTTCATGGGGCCATCAGATGACTGAAATGATCAGGGTTAAGAATACTGTTTCCAGAGAAACAAAAAGTTACTCAAAACACATCATTCTGTGGCATCATGATGCCCCATAATTCTAATAGCAGTGTTGACCAAAAATAACATCCTTAAGAAAATAGGAAATGCCACAGATAAATTTATCTTTTTTAAAGAAAAGAAAGAATAGAATATCTGTGCTGAATTCCTCTTTCAAGACAGCTTTGTGAAGATATCCATTATTCTCTGTTTATTTCAGTTTTGTTGTCTGTTATTTTCCCTGAAGACATTTGCTAAAAATTATAGAAGGAATAATGTAATGGTATATAGCTTAGCATGCATTGTAAAACTGTTTTATCCTAGTTGCATAACGCAAGGGCACCTGAACAATGTGTCTTGTATCTGGATATGTCTTTAATTCCAGATTGTTCCTCTATCGATTTGGCCAAATACTACCAATGACAAAATTGTAACTAGTCTACATTTGAGACAAAATAATTAATATAGAACAGCGAACTTAACCAAAGTAGTTTATGCCTTATCTTGGCCATCATCTTAATTATTGCAACTGGCAAATGAGTGCACTGTTAATGTAATTATTTTTCCTTTAAAGGCCAAAAATATCGACATTTAGCAAAGTTTCCTCTGATGTTATCCTTAGATTTGTACAGAATAAAAAGAACAGTATAAACATTATCTATTTTGTACTTCTGATTGCCTTTTCTCTTGGTATCTCAAATGAGCATATGCCTTTACCTGGGCCTTTCAAATTATGAAAGCATATGTTTGAAGGCATCTCTGTTCAGCATGTCCTTTTTGGACAAGGGAGCTGATTTAAGATGTCCCCACTCCCAGCTTACATTTCCATCCCACACCATAATTTTAAATCCTCTGTTACGAATGTCACTTGTTTGTGAGGATTGTCACTCACTACATCAGAGAAAAGACCTGGGTAAAAAAATACCACTGTCTAAAACTCAGCAACAGGAGATGAGAAGAAGTGATTAGGAGCACAAATTTCTTAAGCTAGCTTTCCTGATGAGAAAAAGGAGTATAGATCCACGGTCTAAAATGCAAAGGAAGTAAGTACAGGCTGCGTTATAATCACAGCATACAAAAGTGAACCACACTGGGAATACAGGAAACAAAAAGCCATCTCCCTTCACTTTGTCCATATAAAGGATTCAGACATTGTAGCTCATCTGCTTGGAAAAACAAAAGTATGTTCTGAATTTGAATTAGCCAACTAGAGTTAAAAAGCAACGATGTCAGGCCTGTTTTGCTTCTAAGTCAGCTTAAGAATTCCTAAATGCTATAGGTGGGAACTCGAGCTGTGAACACTACTCAACACTATTCAAGCTGCCCTACCCTTGTTATTTTTCATTCAAATTCTCCAGTTGGGTTAATCAGTCCAGGTGAAGAACATGTGTGTGTGTGTGTGCATATACATACATACGTATGTATGTATATATGCATGTTTGTGGCAATATGCACCACCAGACTATGATCAGCTACAAGTAGGTGACTAAGTGATTAATAGCTTCACTCCAGCTGAAGGCTCTAGTCAGGTCACAGTTACCAGGGCGCCTCTTTTACACTTGACTTCCTGCCACTCATATCCTTCTCCCACAACAGCTTTTCATCAAGCCAGTACAGTGGCCCATGGGGCTACCCGAAGAACCAGATGAGGACATTGATCTGGACTGAAAACACCCCTTTTAACTTTGGGGATAGAGCTTTGTGTTCCAGATCATTTTTGGTCCCCAAAAGTATTGTACCCTAAAAACCGAAGGTACAAGACAACAGTCGGAATACATCACTTTGGGTAGGAGCTACTTAATTCCCCCTCACGGCCACTTACAGAAATATCTGAGTACCTTTTCCTCAGGGTAGCTACATTTCTTCTGTCATCCTGGCAGCCGTGTCCCATAGCTCATTAAAGTCATTCAGTCTTAAGTAACTTGCCCTAGGTCACCCAGGAAAGTCCATGATAGAACTAAGAATAGAAACCTGATCACTCTTAGCAAAGAATGGGATTACTTTACATGACTAAAATGACTCAGTTTCTTAAGTCTTTGCAGGTTTGAGTTTTTTATTCCTCTTACAGAGGAAAATCTCTTGTCGAAAAAGTACAATATAATTCTCAACTACACTTTAGAGAATGCATTGCTGCTAAGATAGAATATTTTTGTGTTGAAATGGAAAGGACACCCTTATTAGAAGATTTTTGTGGCAAGCATAAAAGGTAAAACTCCTGTTTCAAATTCCTACACATACCAATGACTTCATGCATTTTCCCTCTTTCTTTTTTCTTTCTTTCTCTCTCTCTCTCTCTCTCTCTCTTTTTTTTACAGTTTTTGAGACTTAAGATTATTTGTTCGGTACAGGTATATGAATATAGTGGCTTCTTTTTGATTGCATGTCTCTCAAATTTAGTTTGAAAGATGAATAGATTGAGCATCTGTAAAATATTGTGTAATATCCTCAATGATATACATGGACACATGAATGTAGAGTTCATGGGGAAAAAAAGTTTTAGGCTGCAAGGGCTTTACTCATTTTATACAAACAGAAATGAAAAGAAAAGAATATTCTTTTATAATAAATAAATACACAATGACAAAGGTTACTATTGAAGGGATTACAAATGACAGAAGCCAACATAAAAACTTTCAGTATCGTACTTTTACTTTAATATGAAGACATTATTATCAAAGGAAAATACTCGAGAAACGCTTTGATAAAAATAATCTCACACTATCTTTGAAGCGGTTTCATTTATTTTACTACCCACTGTGTTCCTTATCAGAAGGCCAAGTATAAGAAGTTTCCTAGTTTATGATTAGGAAAGAATCTGATAGATTAGAAGACTCAATTGAAGTTGGACATAATAAGTATTAAAGTATTACATGACATTAATCCTGCCATTCCATTACTCTCTCAATCATTGTGCACAGACTAATTATTCTGAAGCCAGTGTTCAGGAGAAAATAGAAACATACTTACACTGGGTTGGAGTAATCTCTTTATTGCATCAACAAGGCTAGCTCTGTACCGGTCCAGAAACAGGCTGACATTGAGAAGAGAACAGAATCCAGATTAAAATGGGTTTTCAATTCTAATGATACTAATGCAGATAAGTACAAGGCTAATTACATGTGTTTACACAATGCTGTAAAAGAGAAACTGTGGTCTACATTTCTTTCCAGTTCATGTACTATTTAATAAAAAAATTAAACAAAAAACAGCTGAAGCCTGAAACAAATACTATTTAAAACGAAGCCAAAGTATCAGCATGAACCAGTCCTTTAGGAGGCTGAAATTCACAGATCACATGTGTTAGCTATCAAAATAAGGTCATATCAGAAATCAGGATCAATATAATACGAATTTAACATTTTACAGGCTTTTTGTATGAGCAGAGTGCGGAATTTATTAAAGTATTTTCTACTGTATTTCATGCCTTACTATTAAGGGATTTTTTTTCCTTTTACTTTTAGAGTCAGTATATTAATTCATTATTATCTGTTATGCATTTTTGTACTACTTATATACCTCTATCTATGTAGATAAAGATATACCTTCCCCTACCTCTTCTCTTCCTCAAACACTGTTCAAACACAATGACCCCGATAGTACAGAGTTGTCCTATCTAAAGAGTGAAATCCTTCATCTCCAGCATGGGTCCTGCAAGGATAGCAGCAGAGTCAATTTTCCCATGCAATGCTGCCAACATGCTCAGCCCTATTTTGGTGTGATTACCTCATGATTTGAAGGGATAATTCAGTTTTCATGCCCATCAGTACCTTAATGTATATACTAATAGTGGCAACCAGGGTGCCAATCACTCTTGACTAGATATTTGTGGACATGTAGTTACTGTGGATGAGAAGCGCATTTACAATGGTTAAGGAACAACCATCGGATAGCAACTGATGCCTTTCAGTCTTTACTGCCACGGGCTGCATTTATATTGGTGATTCAGATAAGAAAGAGTCTATCGAGCAGGCCACAGGTAATGTGATTTTTTTTCTTCATTATTTTCATGCTTTCTCTGTAATAAAACTACCTCCCAATATGTGCCATGCTAAAGTTCCACACTATAAGGCATTTTGTCCATTCTTTATGAATCATTTGTATACCTTCTTCAATTCCTTTCTTCTCAAATATATCTTTCTGAGGAGAACTGGGTGATTTTTTTTTCCAGATTTGAAATATCCAAAAGAATTAAAAGAATATATGAAAACAGTACAGAAAAAAAAGAAGTGGTCTGCCAATTACTTGCCAGTCATCAAGAACAGAACATGCATGGTCATTTAGATATGGATATTTCAGGGACAGCAAGGAGAATACCATAGTGTTATGTATCATAGGGCCAATGTGTAAGATGTGCACATTTTTGCTGCTCAGGAAAAGAAAGCAGCCTGTCTGAAAATTTGTTAAGTGACCAAATTTAATCAGTAAAAAAAAGGTAAAAGGCACTGTTGGAAAAATATGGTAGACCTGGAATCCAGAAACTTCTTAAAGAGCATTTTGTATAGATGAATGACCCTTTTGAATTTCTTAAGACACTGAAGTACTGGTTAATTGGTTAATAATTTCTAACTGATAGCCTGCCCAAAAGAAAGCTTAAAATTTAGCAATAAGCATGATGGCTGCCCCTCTGCCCCTCAGCCTCAACAATCTTATTGGAAGAACTGGACAAAGGCTTGTTTAAATAAAATTAAATGAAAGAATAGATGATATCTTTAATGTCTCCTGGGACTTTTAATCATATTCACCTCAGGTAGGTCCCTATACAGACAGATACCATAAGATACTAATTTACCAGGAACTTATCCATCTGCAGGGGAAAAAGATGTGGAATACAGTGTGTGAGCCCTCTCCCCAAAAGAATCTCTAAAAACAATTATTTTTCTTCAATAGGAGACATCACATGGATGTGCACATTTAAGACTTCTATGTAGACAGAAGTACAGTACAAATGAAAAATGCACTTATATTTTTTTTTTTGAAAGTAGTATAGTGGAAACACAATTTTGGGTGAGTTTGCCAGCACTAAACCTAATTTTTCATGGCTCTGCATACCATCCTTTTTACAGTGAAATAAGGGCACAGCTACTGCTACCAATGTTGTTCCTTTACAATGACAGAACCACAAGCCTTGTTCACTAGAAATTCAGGTGTCTGAGAACTTCAGATGGTTAATAACCTGCTTGGCAGTCCAGGACGACTTCGAGGATACCTTTGATGTCTGACTCGCACTGGATATTTTGGTGGTTTGGGAGGTCGCCTCTCAGCCTGGTGGCCTGGTGTACCTGCCCTGTCTCTGCTCCCAAATCCTCCCTCCCCTCCTCTAGGGTATGCCCCCGAGAACAGGGCCTGCTTCAACTGAAAGTGGTCTCTAGTGCCCTGATTGTCAATCTGTTGCCCTGTGAGCTATGTCCTCTGACTGGAGGGAGCACAGAGGGCTGGAAGCAATCGTGATGTCATGCAGTGACTTCAGGAAACATTTCTATCCTCCCTTTGAGTTGGAGGATGCCTTGAAGGAGGAAAATCTTGAAAAAGCTGTTACATAATCTTGCCACAGACCGTGCTGGCATAGGATTTGGCCCATTCATAGAGATTCAGTCTCAGTTTCTATTACCAGTAAAATTTGTGTGACTAAAGACCAACAGAGCGTACTGAATATGTACTCCTAAGAGAATCCTTTAAAGCTCACCAGAACTCAGTGACATTAAATAATATATTGTTTTAAACCATTCTCACTCAGTGCCCATTTTTCAGTTCAAGTTTGGCTTAGTTTTCCATTACTTTGGTGGTCTTAATATTTTTTCTGTAAAAAATGTCTCATGAATGTAGTAAGAACTCTGTGAAAGCGGTGGCTGAGGACAGGAATAGCAAGGGTCGCTCTGGTCAGCAAGGAAGTGTCTGAGTACAGCAGTAAAGAGGCAAGAACCTAAAGAGGTAGAGGGAAGAGTCATGATTTATGGCTCTTGGCCTTTGCTTAGTCAGCGCTGTTCACCTGTGAAATCTGGATGAACAGGCAGGTAATCTTGTCAGCTCCTTCCTTTTTTGTTTTTTTTTTCTTCATTTTAAATTACCATTTAAAACAAAAGGAAAGTTTACATAAAAACCTGCATGGAAGTAACGGTAAATCACTATGAAAAAAATTTAAAAAAAAAAGGTGAATTCTCCATTCAGTTAATGCTGGTATGTTTTATCCTATTTTCCTGTGCCTTGCAACAATGGACATAAGCTTACGTTTTATAGGCTATGATGTGAAATTATTTTTATATTTCTGTAATTTAAAAGGGGTAAAAAAGCCAGTTTACGATCTACTTCTGACAAGATTACATTCATATATAGTGCCTAGTGTATATAGTCTTTTATTTTTTTGTTCACCTTCAACTATTAGGCTGTCACAAACTGAAAAAACTCTTTCTTCCATGTCATCAGATTTCAATGCAATTGAGAATACGTCCAAGGAATCAGGCTTAAAATGAAAAATAAATTTAAACTGAGGAAGGACAGAGATTTTACTGCATTCCTGTAGAAAGGTTTTCTTATATTAAATCAAATCCTGATGAAGGGAAAATTGACATGTTTTAAGTTATTTAAAGAATAATTTCAATTTGTTCGTACATTCCTGTTGTATCCACAACCCCTAGTAACTTAAGAATTTCAGCAGTGAAAGTAATGTGAGATAGGCCTCCAGACATCTGTTACGCAAATACTTACACACATGTCAAACTTTAAGAATATGATCAGCCTAACTAAACAGAGTATGATATTACGCATTTACTAAGTGATATGAGGATCTAGACCATATTCTGTCTCCACATTAAAATTATGTGTGAAAACCTTGTTCATGAGAACCTGAAGGGCAATGATTTTTGTCTTGGTCAACCCCTAATGGCCTTGAATTTCTCTTTCGATTAAAAATCTCAGTAACTTTTTTCTTAATAAATAACAGCATATAGCCTTCATCTTAAATAGTTAGCTATCTGGGACCCTCCGGAGCTTTGGAAATGTCCCATCTGTGGCCTGTCTGCAGCGCCACTTGTTATTTCTCCTCCTCTGTTCATACTCCCTTTTACTCATGTTCCCAGCACCTGCATGGCTTTATACCTGCAAGTGCAGGTCAAATGAAAGTCTGAAATTTTGGCATCTCTCATCTGGCCCTGAAATTACCACTCTATAAAAGGAGGTGGTTGGCTATACCTTAAAAATTCCACTATTCCAGGTTGGTTTGTTTGTTTTCCCAGTGTATCCTTCTTCCAAGTGTGGCCTCTCCAAGATATTTTTTCCTTATTTTTTATCTCATAGTTGACATTTTATGAGTTATTTAGGAACTGCTGAATCATGAAACTATTT